AGAAGCCGGCTCCGAGAGCTGTCTTTAGCGACTATCATTCCCTTTCCTAATGTCCTGAAGAACGGTCCGCAGCGCAGGCGGAGTGTTTAGCTAACCTGCAGGAAACGTCGACGACAGTTATCCAGAAAGTAGCTAAGGGTTACCAGAGATGTTTCTGAGGTGTTCGCTAGGTACTTTTAAGATTTAAAAAGTCAAGAAGTGGGTCTGAAAAGCTGTTGGAAATAGCGTCAAAGTCGCTAAGTTGGCAACACTGTGAGGAGCGCTTCATTTGCAACTCAGGGCAGCGTAAGTGGGAGGAGCACATAATCGGCTTGTTTTGTTTTTATAATCGTTCATAACATTTCATTCGGAATATATTTCTATGTCGATGTTCAGAATACGACATCTGATAGTCCGAAAAAATTAATACCTAATTTGGAAAAAATAATACCTCTGACCAAATTTAACACTTTTAATGGCCTTAAATTTGACTATTTTTATTTATCACTTTTTAATACTTTTTAAAACCCCGCGGACACCCTGTTTAAGTATCTCGGGGTCTTGTTCACGAGTGAGGGTAGGAGGGATCGGGAGATCGACAGGCGGATTGGTTCGGCGTCTGCAGTGATGCGGACACTGAGCCGATCTGTCGTGGTGAAGAGGGAGCTGAACCAGAAAGCCAGGCTCTCGATTTACCGGTCGATCTACGTCCCAATCCTCACCTATGGTCATGAGCTTTGGGTAATGATTGAAAGAACGAGATCACGGATACAAGCGGCCGAAATGAGTTTCCTCCGTAGGGTGGCCGGGCTCAGCCTTAGAGGTAGGGTGAGGAGCTCGGACATTCGGGAGGGACTTGGAGTAGAACCGCTGCTCCTCCGGATCGAAAGGAGCCAGTTGAGGTGGTTTGGGCATCTGGTCAGGATGCCTCCTGGACGCCTCCCCGGGGAGGTGTTTCGGGCATGTCCTGCTGGCAGGGGGCCCCCGTCGACTCAGGACACGTTGGAGAGGTTACATCTCCAATCTGGTCCGGGAACGCCTTGGAGTCCTGCCGGAGGAGCTGGTGGAGAAGACGGGGAGAGGACGGTCTGGAGCTCCCTAGTTGGGATGCTGCCCCCGCGACCCGGACCCGGATAAGCGGAGGAAGACGACGACGACGACGACGACATAACCTCTTGATCCTACAGGTCAAGAAAGAACAGCCTTGGTCAGATTGGTCGGGTAGAATTACCGTTAAGTTTTAGATCCATTGGTCACATCTATAAATTTAAAGGCCTGGCCTTCGAGGATTTTTTTCACAGCTGTTTTACTGATAAAATTCAAACGTGCAGTGAATTACATTGGCTGTCGTATCATGTCTACGTTACAGAATCTCTAAAAAACAGACGACGAAACCATAAACCGACCCGCTGCTCATTTTAGGTGAAGGTGGAAGGAACAATAGTGTGGATTAGGTGCAAAAAAATTAGTCACACTTGACAAACTGGCTATATTCTGGAGGCCTGGCAACTATAGCTAATTCTGTGATGAAAATCATTAGATCTTGCACAACCTGTTAGGACCAGAGTGAAATTTTAGCTCAATTTCTGTAAAAAAATAAAAATAAAAAAAATTAATTAATAAATAAATAAAAAGAGACTCTGATTAAGCCATTTTTGTGTTGGCTACCGATGGTTAGCAGCGGAGACCATTTTGAATTGGATTGACTCCAAAAGTTAGTCAATGTAGACGTTTATCCAACAAAGACTTTCTGAGAATCTCATTCACTGCCATTGACGTCTAAAGTTGTCATTTGCATGTTTGTGGGCGTCGGAACGAGCCCCCGCACCGCGAGAACAAGCATCCCAGCTCTAAAGCTGATCTTCATCCGCATACGTCACACCTCACGTGATCAGGAAGCAGAAAATCCACGTGTTAGGAGATCGTTTTGGGCCGCTGCTGTAAAAAAAAAGTGAGGCGCGAACCAGAAAAGCTTCTGCCGATCACAAATCAACAACGGATTATGAAAGAACAGATAAAGGTCGAAATGCGTGGATTCTTCCTGATGTAAGAGGTGAGTCTCCGCTTTGTTTTGGTTGTTTGGGCGTCGACATCATCCTAGCGCGCAACGTTCTGTGACTCTTAAAAAAAACTGTAAAAACGGTGAGAAATGCTGGCAGCGAATGAGTTAAAATCTGTCCAGATTCATGAAATATTTAGCAAACAAAAACATTCGTCTGAGAGGGCAATAGAGCTCCGGACGTCCCGTGACTCTCAGAGTAGACGCCATGTTGACAGGCAACAAATGTAAACAAAATGAACGGTGGCTACACCGGTCCAATTCACAGCGATCGCAAAAAGGCCATCAATGAGTAGGCTATGTTAATGTAGCATTAAACAAGTCATGCAATTTTAAAAAATGAGTTATTACAAGTTCATTATTCTTTTTACTAGGGCCAGCAGTTTGCATTCAGTGATGAGACTCATACCGATGCTAAGTCAGCTTAGAGAAGGACTGGCCACCAGGCACTTCAGCCCCTCTTTCTTCCTGGGAACCTTAAACAGGTAAGTACAAATTCTTTAGGCCTCTGCAAAAACTATGTCCATTACAAAAACGTATAGGAAATGCAGAGAAGCTGAAGCTGTTTTTGTTCCATCAACAGTTCTAATCGATTCTTATAAAAATACTAAGAATCAAATCGATTCACAAGTACAAGAATCTGTTTGTTTAACATTGTTTGCCCCAATTTATTTTTTACAGCTATAATTTTTTTTTACAGACAGCAATTTTAAGTTCTCTTTAAGGAAGCTATCAGATGTATTTTTTATTCTAATATCATGGCAATGAAGTTTTACATATTTTTTAGTGGTATACATCTTCATTTTCTTATATTAATTTAGCTCTGCAGGATAAGCAGAAGTAAAATTTGTACAACTGAAAAATGTCCTGTATTTATTTGAGTTCTTAAGTAATCATAAGAATAGAGCTCCGGACCCCACGTGACTCTCAGTTAGTAGACGCCATATTGGCAGGAAAAAAAGGTAAACAAACACAGATCGTAAACATGAACGGGATCGACTTGGATTTTACTTCGTCTGAGTTTACTTCACACTTTAAAACCGAAGAAATCGTTTTATATAGTCAGAAATTAAATAGCTTAAACATGTCCGACCCTTACTGTGCCCCTGGGATACTTTTTAAAAACGCCAGAAGCTGACGGAGCACACCTGGCCAGCAAACACCTTGGGATTTCCCCGGAGGAGCTGGCCCAGGTGGCTGGGGAGAGGGAAGTCTGGCCCTCTCGACTTAGGCTACTGCTCCCGCGACCCGACTCCAGATAAGCAGATGAAAATGGATGGATGGACAAATAACAGATTTACACGTAAGTAGTTTAAATAGAGTGCTGTGCTGTTTGAATGTATGAACTGAACGCCAAGAGAAATCACTAGTCTGATTTATTTCCGTGAATAGAATAAATATGTCAGGCAGGAACGTCTCAGGATCTGTCTGAGAGCTGTCTCGGTGAGACAGATAATAGAAATCCAAAGTGCTTTTTATGTGTGATCTGACAATTGATCAACCATTGCTTAAAAATTAAATACAGCTTAGCCGGTTAATTGCTGTGATCATAAAACACGTAAACGGCAGCACGCAGAACTCACGAGACAACGTTTTATGTGATGGTTACTTGTTGCTATGAGTAATAAGACAGAAAAAGTCACGCCAAAATAAGTTTAGGAAGCCCACTAAGAATTGTAATAAAAGCATTTAAAATAAATACCATACACAGTTGAGGAAACGTTGTTTAAGTACCTGATATGAAGTGGTCGCTGCATAAGTGAAAACCTTTACTCTCGGGATCCCACAGTTTCATTTTAGCCCGGTCACTAGCGCGTTTTATTACAATCATCCAACGTTTGCGGCACTCCGGATCTTGGGGAATCCTGTAGATGGCTCATTCCTTATGCCGTCCGCGTCTGTTCTGCATCCTGGGGCACAACAGGAATCTACCATATTTCCCGTTTGATTGAGTTTTCTGACAATAACAAATAGTCCAGCTGCGGGCTTCTACCTGCCAATATGGCGCCGTTTCGATTTGAACTGTTGCATGCCGAGAGAGACGTGACGTCAACTCCTGGAGCTCTATAGATCAGCTTTATGCCACATTAATGACGCAGACTGAGCAGATTCCAAGATCACACACACACACACACACACACACACACACACACACACACACACACACACACACACACACACACACACACACACACACACACACACACACACACACACACACACACACACACACACACACACACACACACACACACACACACACACACACACACACACACACACACACACACACACACACACACACACACACACACACACACACACACACACACACCTTGTGCTATATAAACAGCTCCTCTACGATCCAAACTGCTCAGCACTTCCTCTCCTTTTAACAAGCAACGCTGCTCCAGACCCAGAGGAGGTGACGACTCCTACAGAACCTAACTTATCACTCAGTTCGCTTTAACAAGGGTGAGCGCGTCTTCGTCCACAACCCGCTACATCAGATGGAGGGACATGGACTTGTCCAGCCTGCAGCTGCAGATCTGATAGAGAAGCAATTAGAGAGATGCAAACTGACAGCAGAAAGGAGACCACTCAGTCCAAGATCCTCGTTGATGCTTTCAGGTCTCGACCTGTACGACACGACCCCCACTTTAGTCAAAAATTAACTAAATTCATATCTAATTCTGCTCAACTTTATTTATAAATCGCGCCTTACGGGCAAAAACATGCCACCAAGGTGCTACACAGGCTAAGTAAAACCATAAAACATTAGGTCCAGAAAATAAAAACAATGGATCACATGATACATGAAAAACACAGTGAATGCACGGATCACTTTAAGTAAAACAATAAAAACCAGTCTTGTGTACATTTTAAACAGATATTTCCAGTTGTTTCAAATGAAAGCCGACAGCCCAGTCAGATAGAGCAGCTCACCTGCGGTGAAGGATACATTTTAATGGCGCCTGACTTGGTGCCGATGGCCATCAGCTGCAGCTTGGGGTCAAAGGCCAGAGCGCTGGGCTGATGGGGGAAGCCATGCTCCACCGTCTAAGAGAAAAGAAAGCTCAACATTAAAAGACTGTACCAAGAAGGAGACATTTAAATATTTCCACTGATCTTTCTGTTAAAAAGTGCACCCAGACAGTGTAGTCACCAAGGCGTCTAGAAGGGAGGACCCCCTCAATAAAAAGCTGCTAGCAAACAGAGCATTAGGCCTTGTTAAACGGGATTAACATTAATTCACAGTTTTTACTCTTGCTTTGTCGGGAGATGGCAGACGAATGTGAAAACATTTACAGATACAAAGAAACATCTGAAGAAAATTTAAAACATTGGGTTTGAAAATGTATTTTGGGCATTTTTCTTCTTTGTGCATCCCGACCAGATTGTAAAAACCAACACGAACGCTGACGAAAAACATCGACTTTCTGCCTATAAGCTGTCAGATTAGACACACACACACACACACACACACACACACACACACGAGCGGAGAGTCACATTAAAGTGAGCTCCCCGTGGGCAGACCACCTCTGTGACAGTCTGCAGCAGCAGCTGGTACCAAACAGTAAAAAAAGTGTTGTTCCAACAAAACAAACAGTCCCTGGACTTTAAACACGTTGCAGAATTCAGCCAACCTGAATACACACCGCCCAGGTGTCTCCCCACCCACACACTCAACCCCATCAAAGGCTTTTACTCGGTGGGCGTCTCCACAAACGTCTTCTCCGACCAGCAGCACCGATTCCACGCATACTTGACATAACGGAACACATCTGACGTGCCAACAGCGGCAACTGTCTGACAAAAGCCTAAATACACAAGAGAAGGCATAACAATATGCCAATTTAGATCAGAAACATCTTCTAAAAGAGGTGACTTGGCCACTGAAGCGTTATAAAAACAGTAGAAAAACGAAATGCTTAACCTTATAACAAATCTGCAAACAAGCTACACGGTCAGACAGCACTCACCCATCCCGTCAGCTATCATCTGTAGGCCGCGTGCGCCTGATACCGGAACACGCATTGCCACTACAGGGTATCTGCAGGTTTAAGGGAGCCAAATTTAAGACTTTAAGACCTTTTTTAAGGCCACTTTGACCAAATTTAAGCTTTTTTTTTTTTAAATTTAATTTCTGCTATAATTTCCAGCTATTGCGTGGAACTGGTGCTAACCACGTCGCGAACGTGGGATTAATCATCCAGTTACCATGAGTGAGATGTGATGCTGTAAAGAGCAGATTCTGGTCTAGATCACTCAGACTGACTCCTCCCGTTAGTAAACACTTGTGACTCCTTGATTTCTTCCTTCCCGTCACATCATCACGTCGCACTGACTTGTAACTCACCAGTTCAACGAGGAGTGTCACAAACATCGACCAACATGCGGACGTTATTCAGATTTTCCCATCTTGAGATTTACTCCAAAAGCAAACAAATTTCATAAAGTCCTTTTTTTCAGCCATTTTAAAAGGTGTTTCTGTGCTTCAGTCATAAATTCTAATTTTACTGATTGTTGGCGACTTCCTGAACGGCCTCTGACCTGAGAACGTGTTCACATCCTGGACCGATATGCTAACGGGCAGACTGGGAGGAAAAAACATGACTAATATGTTCTGTGCATCTACAACATTTCAAAGTGGTTCATATGAAAATTGTTTTATAAACCTTAAAGCGTGCCTCAGTTTCCCTTTCCGTGATTATACTCAATCCAACAGATATTTCCAGAAAATCATCTCAAACACAGCAGGCCTAAGTTAAGACTCAGAGGTCACCATTAACATTCATCTGAAAGTTCTCAAAGACTTGTGGGTAAATATTCTGTAGACTGACGAGACAGAAGCCGAACTTTCTGGAAGGTGTGGGTCCCGTTCCATTTGGAATAAAACTAAAACATCAAGTCAGACACGGTGGTGGTAGTGTGATGGTCAGGGCTCTCAAGCAGAGCATCCTGAAGGAGAACATATGACCTTTGACATTCAACACGTCATTCATACTGGAAACCCCAGCCTGGCAAGCCATCCAAGATATGTAAAAATCTGGCCATGACTCATCTCCGTCATGGAGGCAAAATCTACGGACCAATAAGAGCAACAAAGTTACGTATTCACAGTGACAGAAGTAGAAGAAGAACTTTGTCATTTTTCTCTTGCAGCTCTGCCGTAATGAAGATTAGGGGTCAATTACCTTTTCACGTAGGGTCAGGATTGTTTGTTGTTGTTTTCTCCTCAAAGTATGAAATCTCCTCCTTGAACCGTCACCTTATCGTGGTGGAGGAGTTTGAGTGCCCTAATGATCCTAGGAGCTATGTTGTCTGGGGCACTTAGTGCCCCTGGTAGGGTCTCCCATGACAAATTGGTCTTAGGTGAAGGGTGAGACAAAGAACGGTTCGAAGGATCTTTCATGGCGGTTAAAACGAAGAGTCGGAGTACCCGGCCCGGAGGGTTACCGGGATCCCACCCTGGAGCCAGGCCTGGGGTTGGGGCCCGTGAGCGAGCGCCTGGTGGCCGGGCTTTCGCCCATGGGGCCCGGCCGGGCCCAGCCCGAACCGGATACATGGGCTCGTCCAACTGTGGACCCACCACCCGCAGGAGGAACATGAAGGGTCCGGTGCAATGCGAATCGGGTGGCAGACCAAGGCGGGAGCCTTGGCGGTCCAATCCCCGGACAAGAAAACTAGTTTTTGGGACATGGAACGTCACCTCGCTGGCGGGGAAGGAGCCGGAGCTTGTGGCAGAGGTTGAGCGGTACCGGCTAGATATAGTCGGACTCACCTCGACACATTGCATTGGCTCTGGAACCCGAGACCTGGAGAGGGGTTGGACACTCTACTTTGCTGGAGTTGCTCCGGGTGAGAGGCGGAGGGCTGGGGTTGGCTTTTTGTTAGCCCCGAGACTCTCTGCCTGTGTGTTGGGGTTTACCCCGGGGGACAAGAGGGTAGCTTCCTTGCGCCTTCGGGTCGGGGAACGGGTCCTGACTGTTGTTTGTGCTTATGGGTAGGGCTGCAACAAACGATTATTTGGATAATCGATTAATCGGATGGGGTCTCGACACGATTAATCGATTAATCGGATTACATAGGGACATTTTTAAAAACTGCTAGGGAAACGTTATTTTTCTCCTTCCTTCACTTTATTAAACACAGCATTATTAGAAAACAGTTCAATAGCAGAAAAACAACATGCCATCACCTAAATTGTCTTATAAGGTGTATAGACAGAGACCCTAAGCTACATCTACATCTGTGACCTAAAATGCTTGGTCCAAGTTAAACAGCTTAAAGAGCAAGTCAACCCCTACCAGAGTCTAACTCCACTCCTGCTTTATGTTTGAAAAATGCAACACATGCTGTTGCCTGGCAGACCGAGAGGGCGGAGCCGCTAACAAATACACACACACTCAGGCTCACGACAGCATTGTGACATCATAATGTACCAGTTTACATCATATCATACTTCTTAGCCAATAGCGGTGGCAGATTTAAATTAAAATACAGTGCAGAGTTTTTACCTGACAACGGCACAACACTGCCAGTTTTAGGCAGAAAATTTAAATTTGAACTAAGATGCACTGAAGTGCCAAATTATTGACGACACGTGTCTGCAGCACGATTAGACACTCGTTTATTTAGTTTATCAGCAAAAAAAAAGTTTATTTGGGGGTGACTTGCTCTTTAAGGGCAATTCTCATCTGTTTTGTTTGATCTCATCCGTAGACATTTATTATAACTGGGGATGTCAAACAACTAATTTTTAAATGTAATTAAACATAGGCTGTGAATTAATCAAAATTGATCACTATTTCCAAAAATGACTGAAAAAATACCAAATAAAACAAAAGTAAATGAATGCCATCCTCCTTGTGATGATGCCCTGGGCAACTGCCATAAAGTCACATCAAGAAATGCTGCTGATCATTCCAACGATCCCAAACAGACTCACATTAGGCCACACGAAAGCAACTGAACCCAAAAATATATTAACCAGTATATAACTGCACTCTCACACAACACGCCTGCAGCAAGTTAGGACTCCTCCCTCCCTTTTAAAAGCGTTTTCGCTTCTGAGGACATTGTGGTTGTAAAGCCACATGTTAGTGGTCTGGCCCCGGTGTGATCAACCAGTTTCTGCGGGAATGTGACGGCGGAACCAGTTCGCAGCGGCGCGATTCCCCAACCCCCCCCCCCCCCCCCCCCCCGCCTATCTAATAGCGTCGCGCTTACAATTTTATGGACTTTTTTTTTACGAGCTTAGGGCATGTCTAGCCTGTGTATTAATCCGGGGCTTGGATGAATCACTTTTGAAAAGTTTTTAACTTACCCGGACACCGAGCTCTCTCCTTCCTCGCTGATGATTCTGACATGCTTGCGTTTAAGACGCTGCATCATCACCGTAGTATCCCCGTGCCATGCTGTCTGACCTACAAACGTTGAATGTCTTCGCCTGATTTAACTGAAAATGCTCCCAAACTTTAGAAGTTTTTACTTTTTTGGAGTCTCGCTGCTTCTGCCATGTTCCTCTTACAAACACCTGCCGGCTCTCCACCGGTCTGCGCGCAACGGCGGGCGGGAGGGGAGGGGGCTTTTGGAAGAGTTGCGCAACACAACGAATCGATGACGCAATTCGTTGCCAACGCTTTTAGTAATCGATTTTCATCGAATTTATCGATTCGTTGTTGCAGCCCTACTTATGGGCCAAATATCAGTTCAGAGTACCCACCCTTTCTGGAGTCCCTGGGACGAGTGCTAGATAGTGCTCCATCAGGGGACTCCATTGTCCTGCTGGGGGACTTCAATGCTCACGTGGGCAATGACAGCTTGACCTGGAGGGGTGTGATTGGGAGGAACGGCCCACCTAATCTGAACTTGAGCGGTGTTTTGTTATTGGACTTCTGTGCAAGCCGCAGTTTGGCCATAACGAACACCATGTTCGAACATAAGGATTCCCACCGGTACACTTGGTACCAGGGCAGCCTAGGTCACAGGTCGATGATAGATTTTGTAGTCGTATCATCTGACCTGCGGCCGTATGTTTTGGACACCCGAGTGAAGAGAGGGGCGGAGCTGTCAACTGATCACCACCTGGTGGTGAGTTGGATCAGATGGCAAGGGAACATGCCGCGTAGACCTGGCAGACCCAAACGCATAGTGAGGGTCTGCGGGGAACGCCTGGCAGAAGAACCTGTCAAGACGGTCTTCAACTCCCACCTCCGGCAGAGCTTTGACCACGTCCCGAGAGCAGTGGGGGACATTGAGTCCGAGTGGGCCTTGTTCCACTCTGCGATTGTCGAGGCGGCTGTTGCTAGCTGTGGTCGTAAGGTGGCCGGTGCCAGTCGTGGTGGCAACCCCCGTACCCGCTGGTGGACACCAGAGGTTCGGGGAGCCGTCAGGCTGAAGAAGGAGGCCTACAGGGCGTGGCTGGTCTGTGGGTCTCCGGAGGCAGCAGACAGGTACCGGATAGCCAAGCGGGGTGCAGCAGTGGCAGTTGCCGAGGCAAAATCTCGGGCGTGGGAGGAGTTTGGTGAGGCCATGGAGAAAGACTATCGATCGGCTCCAAAGAGGTTCTGGCAAACTGTCCGGCGCCTCAGGAGAGGAAGGCAGCAACTCGCTCACACTGTTTACAGTGGGGATGGGGAGCTGCTGACGTCAACTGAGGCTATAGTCGGACGGTGGAAGGAATACTTTGAGGAGCTCCTCAATCCCACCAATGCGCATTCCGAGGAGGAACCAGAGCTGGGAGGCCTGGGGATGGACTGTCCGATCTCGGGGGCAGAAGTTGCTGAGGTAGTCAAACAACTACACAGCGGCGGAGCCCCGGGGGCGGATGAGGTTCGTCCTGGGTATCTCAAGGCTATGGATGTTGTAGGGCTGTCATGGTTGACACGTCTCTACAACATTGCGTGGTCATCGGGGGCAGTTCCTAGGGAGTGGCAGACCGGGGTGGTGGTCCCCATCTTTAAGAAGGGTGACCTGAGGGTGTGTTCCAACTATAGGGGGATCACACTCCTCAGCCTCCCGGGAAAGGTCTACGCCAAGGTACTGGAGAGGAGGGTCCGATCGATAGTTGAATCTCAGATAGAGGAGGAGCAATGTGGTTTTCGTCCTGGCCGTGGAACTGTGGACCAGCTCTATACCCTTGCAAGGGTGATGGAGGGGGCATGGGAATTTGCCCAACAAATCCACATGTGCTTTGTGGATTTGGAGAAGGCTTATGACCGTGTCCCCAGGGGCACCCTGTGGGGGACGCTCCAGGAGTATGGGGTGGGTGGCTTTCTGTTAAGGGCAATTCAGTCCCTTTACCAGAGGAGCGTGAGTTTGGTCCGCATAGCCGGTAGTAAGTCGGACCTGTTCCCAGTGAGGGTTGGACTCCGCCAGGGCTGCCCTTTGTCACCGGTTCTGTTCATCACTTTTATGGCCAGAATTTCTAGACGCAGCCGTGGTGTGGAGTGTGTCGAGTTTGGTGGCAGGAGAATCTCGTCTCTGCTTTTTGCGGATGATGTGGTCCTCCTAGCTTCATCCAGCTCTGACCTTCAGCTCTTGCTGGGTAGGTTCGCGGCCGAATGTGAAGCGGCTGGGATGAGGATCAGCACCTCCAAATCTGAGACCATGGTTCTCGACCGGAAAAGGGTGGCTTGCCACCTCCGGGTCGGGGGAGAGGTCCTACCTCAAGTGGAGGAGTTTAAGTATCTCGGGGTCTTGTTCACGAGTGAGGGTAGGAGGGATCGGGAGATCGACAGGCGGATTGGTTCGGCGTCTGCAGTGATGCGGACGCTGAGCCGATCTGTCGTGGGGAAGAGGGAGCTGAGCCAGAAAGCCAGGCTCTCGATTTACCGGTCGATCTACGTCCCAATCCTCACCTTTGGTCATGAGCTTTGGGTAATGACCGAAAGAACGAGATCGCGGATACAAGCGGCCGAAATGAGTTTCCTCCGTAGGGTGGCCGGGCTCAGCCTTAGAGATAGGGTGAGGAGCTCGGACATTCGGGAGGGACTCGGAGTAGAACCGCTGCTCCTCCGGATCGAAAGGAGCCAGTTGAGGTGGTTTGGGCATCTGGTCAGGATGCCTCCTGGACGCCTCCCCGGGGAGGTGTTTCGGGCATGTCCTGCCGGCAGAAGGCCCCCGGGTCGACCCAGGACACGTTGGAGAGGTTACATCTCCAATCTGGTCCGGGAACGCCTTGGGGTCCTGCCGGAGGAGCTGGTGGACAAGGCCGGGGAGAGGACGGCCTGGAGCTCCCTAATTGGGATGCTGCCCCCGCGACCCGGACCCGGATAAGCGGAGGAAGACGAAGACGAAGTATGAAATCATCATTTGTAAACTGCATTTTGCAATTACAAATAAACAAGAAGAAAATCTGAGGAGACAAACTGTTTTGCCGATCTGTAAAAGCTATTTCTCTGAAATTAGTCCCTTCTGGATGCACCGAACACAGAAACACACTTCAAATTGGCCTCAACCCCTGACCAACACGAGTAACATCCAACGCTCAGAAAGTATAAGCCAGAATTTTTTAACTTTTTAATGTTACGTGGCTTTGAATTGCAGCTTTATTGATAAAATAAGGGAAACAAGCCAACACGTAACCAGCCCGGGCCTTCACTGTGTCTGATTCATGAGTCAACATCAAATTAGGGTTGTCACGGTAACCGGTATAGCGGTAAACCCCGGTAAAAAAGTTGACAATAAAAATAACCGTCCAGTTTTTAAAAAACTATATTATCTCGGTGGGTTTACCGTGGCCGCGGTTTCGGCGCGATGACCCTTACCAGCCACCGTCGCTTCAGCTGAAGTTCCCGCGGCGCGCACACGCACTTTTTAGTTTGCAACGGCACCAAAACTTTGAAGCTGAAATAATGGCCGAAGGAGGCGACGGCAGCGCCCAGGACATCCATCAGCCCTCAAAGAAGACTAAATCGGAAGTATGGGCATATTTGGGATTTCTGAAAAATGCTGAGGAACAGTTAATAGAAGACGGCTATCCCGTTTGCAGAACGTGCAGGAAACAAGTGTCTGCAGAAGGCAGCAACACTTCAAATCTCATGGCACATCTGCGTGACGATCACCCACGTCTCCACAGCCAGTGCAAGGTAAGTTAACATTAGCATTTTAGCTTAAATGCATGACGTGAGGACTTTTGGTTGAGGGAGAATGCAACGAGTCACTATATACTGCAGCCGCAGCGTCCTCTGCCAGCATTTAAACCGTGTCACGGACACCCTGTTGCTGGATGAAGCATCTTATTTGTTGATGATGAAGAGAAATATACAATTAGTTCCTTGTCATTGATTTCTTTACTTATTCAATGCCATTTATACTTGAACATTTGGATTTGATTACATAGTGTAGTAGTTATTTTAGTAATTTGTTTAAAGTGGATATTTATTTTAAATACATATTTTTTTAAGGTTGACTTGTACGGTGCTCAAGTCAAGTGTGGACTGGAGTTTTAGATTTTCATTTTGATAATGAAGAGAACAAGTATATGAGAAAACAAGTGGTGTTTCTTTGATTTGTTTACATATTGTTTATGTTTTGAATGTTTGGATTTGTATAATTTAAACCTGCACTGACTACTGTAACATGTTCCAGAAAAATAAGCTATTTGTTCCTTTACTTGTGAAAAGTTGCACTTTTGCTAAGGCTTTGTGTTATTTTAGGTTTAATAAACACTGTTAAACCTTTTCAGAACTATTTCAGTTTGTGTAGAACAGGACTATCAATGCTTTCTGAACATATGCAACACCGTTTAAAAAATACCGCGATAATACCGAAAACCGTGATAATTTTGGTCACAATAACCGTGAGGTTAAATTTTCATACCGTGACAACCCTACATCAAATGCTTGAGCACTTTGTGTGACAGCAGTTTCATCCAACATGAGTTCAAGGCTACGGACTGGGTTTTCTCTACAAGGTGCAAGCTTGCAGCGGGGATGCAGCAAATGCAGAATCATCATCTGCAGACAGCTGATTTCTGAAATAATCAACACACACGACCTGTCCTAGTGTAACAGCAGACCTCTTTTAGGTTAATGAGCAGAGATCAATATCAAAACAAGGGACTTCCAGAGAGTGGATCTGAAACTTGACAAACTGAAACTCAAAAAGCCGGCAGAAAAAAATGAGACAGCTTTTTTTTTTTGTTAGACAGCCTGAGTAAAGGGGGGCTGTCACCATCTTGATCAAATCATGATAAATAGGTCATTCACAACCGGCTCAAGACACAATAAATACCTCATATTTTAACTAATCCCCTAAATCTCTAATCCTATCATCACCTTTACTGACACAAATGTGTCAGTGGTGCACTAATTGGGTCTACAAACTTTAAATTTTGTCTTTTTGTTGCTGACTTTGATCGCAGGCCCACCAGGAACTCCAATCAACACAAAGCTCGTCCGAGTTTATCAATCAGCCGCTCATTCCTCCGGGTCTCGCGGGCAGCCGCGGTGCATTATTCGGTACAACACCGGGTTCGGGACGGAAACAGTAACACGAACATGCTCTCGCTGCCGCGGGGTGCCCCGCTCCAAACCTGCCGGTCCCAGTTTCTACAAAAAGACTCGTTCAGATTTTGGGGAGCGGCAGCCAGAAGATAAGGAAACCCCCCCATTCTCCCTCCCGTCCCGTTACTTTACCTTGTTAAAAGCATACAGCTCCTGTTTTATCTTCTCTCTCTGCGGGTCGGTGCCCTGCCGACGGAACCGAAACTTCATCATCTTCAAACCGGGAAGGGAGGGAAGGCGAGCCCGGGAGGGAAACGTAGAACTCGGTGTTCACCGCGGCAAGGCGCAGGGGCGATGCTAAGTTAGCTAGCGGACTAGCCCATACAGGCTGGACGCAGAGCTTCAGCAGGAGCTTCTGCTGCGGAGACCGCGCACTCACTCGCCTCTTTTCTCTCTCTCTCTCTCTTCTCTCCTGGAGCAGTTTAGGTCGCGGAGGGTTTGACCGCAACCCCCTCATTCCCCACGTTACCGTGAACCCTGATATTCCAACCAATGAGGGGACAGAAATCCGCGAGAACCCGTTTAGACACGCCCACATTGCTCGGCGCTCCGGAAAGAGGCGCTTGTTTTAGTATACAGGGTAGACCGAATTAGAAATCTTACGGGAAACTTCTATCACCTGGGACAAGCTGCGAGCCAAAAACATGAAATCAAACAGCTCACAGATAAAAAGCCGCAAATAGTTAATGAAGCCAAAAAAGTAAAGTTTATCGCCTATTTTAATTACTTTATAAAAGTTATCTTCCTGTAGCATAGTTCCGATTTATTTAAATTAAAATCAAGCTACACATATCCTGGCTGAGACGGAAACTTTTATTTATCTTCTTTTCCTCCTAAGTGGAATTAGGATTTCATAAACATGAAAACAAACAGCATTGTGCATATGTATTCATTTATTCATTTAAAATGTTAAGACAGTTTTTAGAAATAATAACATAAACAATCAGTTTCTTATTTTAAAAAGCCAGCATTGTATTTAAATTTAGAAAACTATATATGCAAAAATGAAAAAAAAAAAATTCTAACGGGGAACTGTAAGATGTTAAAACAAAATTTGCTAAATAGATTCTGAATTTTAGGAGATTTGAAAAAAGTAGGAAAATCTCAATTTTTAAATTTAGTTTGCAATAATTTTCATTAAATAACAACAAAACATGATTAAAGTAGACATTTCAACTCAACTAGTCTGAACTAAATTGGTTCAATTTTTTTTACATAATCATTTTGTTTAATTCCAGCATGTGTATTCACATCATAAATGTCATCTGTTCTTTTAGGTATTTGAAAATAAGAAAGGTTTTCACACACATTCCATTACAGGTTCTACTAAAAACTTTATTGTACATCATTATTCACATGCATTAGTTATATACAATCTTTATTTATAAAATACGCATTAACTAACTAAAAAATTGACTTAGTGCAAACTGTTCGGTCATGTGACCTCTGACTTTATGTGCCAAAAACCTGCCCCTTATTTATGTTTCCCTGTCAAAACCCTTCCTTTGATTTCATGGCAAAGAAGAAAAAAAGATTTGAGTTAGTGGTGGCATTTTCATGATTTAGTCATGCACAAGAGCTTACACACTCTAAAAGGAGGAGAGACTGATGCTTATAAAGCTAGTCTTGAATGTCCGAGAAAACAATTAGTGCTACATTAACAAGGCCCGTCTACTTTTTTCACTACAAAACTACTCATTTATTCATTTGAGTAAAAGATGCCCAAGAATTACAGGTAAGAAAGTTTAAAAAAAAATCCCTGCAGCAGAGGACCGAAAAAGAAGGCAGAAGTTCCTGAGCGCAGCCACCGCTGCAGCTCACCGCTCCCCTCCACAGGGATGGCTCGAATGCGGAGATGCATTTCACCAGTGTGTGACGACGACTACAGGACTTTGACTTTAAGTTGTTGAGTCATTCTGTTAGACTGTAAAATTATGAACTTTGTCTTTAAAAGTTTCAATGTTTTGTTTCCAAAACAGAGGTAGATGTAGTCCATTCACAAGGTGTTAAACTCAGCTGTGTACAACTCTCCATCCTTCGGCTATAGCAGTGTGATTTCACTCGGTGGCAAGGTGAGTCTCTTTTCTCGGACCGACAGCAGGTTTTCCATGTGCATGGCGATGACTCGACACAACTCAAGGCCCTGCAAAGACAACCGCTCCGATCAGCAACCAACAAGGGACAGTTACACACTACAGAGCAAATCAACCCCAGCAGAGGCATTCGCTGGTTAAATATCTCTAATAAGGCTTTCATTTGGATTTTTCTGGATAACGTCAGCGCCCCACCCTTGATGTGTCAGATCCAACTGTGGCCACACATTTAGGAATTATTGCTATAGAGCGCTTTGGTTGCAACTAGTTCTTCTCAAGGTACTTTCAACTTAGCCAAAATCAAATTGAAGTTTTCCTTGTCACTGTACTATAAATCAGTGGCTCCCAACCATTTTTCCATGAGGACCCCTTGTTGGTGTCCAAGACAAGCCAGGGCACCCCAATCCCAACTCTCACCCCGTACACACATCAAAAGTGACTAATTACAAACTTTATACAGACATACAGAGTTTTAACTCTTATAGAGAGTGTTGATTGTACTGTTGGGTGTGTTATTGGTACTTTATAAATGTAAATTTTACAAATATATCTTTGGAACCTAGGCTGCGCAGTGGTGCAGTGGTTAGAGCTGTTGCCTAGCAGCAAGAAGGTCCTGGGTTCGCTTCCCAGCTTGGGATCTTTCTGCATGGAGTTTGCATGTTCTCCCTGTGCATGCGTGGGTTCTCTCCGGGTACCTCGGCTTCCTCCCACAGTCCAAAAACATGACTGTTAGGTTGATTGGTCTGTCTAGATTGTCCTTAGGTGTGAGTGTGTGAGTGAGTGTGTGTGTGTGTGTGTGTGTGTGTGTGTGTGTGTGTGTGTGTGTGTGTGTGTGTGTGTGTGTGTGTGTGTGTGTGTGTGCATGATTGTTTGTCCTGTGTGTCTCGGTATCTTGTAACCTCAGCACAGACATACTTGTGGAGACACCTTTTGGAGGTCATGGACCCCGGGTTGGGAACCACTGCAAAAATTTATTTTAGTTCGTTCGTTTTGAAAATTTCAAGCACTTTCTAAACCTTGAAATAAACACATAAAACTCAAAATTTTGAGGTGTTTAAGCACCCTTAAATGCTCTGTTTACACATGCGCACGCACACACACGCACACGCACACACACACACACACACACGCACGCACACACACACACACACCTGCTCTAGCTGCAGCTGTGTGATTCGCTGGTTGAGAAGGTCTCCAATCATGATTTCCACATAGGGGTAACTGGAGCCTGAAGTTGGTCTTTGGGTACGAGTTGACTGGACCTCCTTCAAAGGGAAACGGTCCATGGTCTCCTGGTCACACACACACACACACACACACACACACACACACACACACACACACACACACACACACACACACACACACACACACACACACACACACACACACACACACACACACATTAAAATTGCATCCATGATTTTTTAATAGATCTACGAATCCCATTTGCTAAGTTTTTATTGTTGAAATGTTAATTGTTAAACATTTATTATAAAATAGTCTGCTTGCTATTTTCTAAGAGTAAATGCATGTTTGTGTAACATCAGTACATAAAATGATGCATTTCTTGAAAGGTGCAAGTGTTTATAGGAAATGCATCTTGGGCGATGACTCCATGATGAAGGGCTACTGGCACAGAGCAGGGTACCAGCTTTCCCCACTGCTGATTGGTTGTTAGTGTGGAACTTTGTGTGCATTTACATCTCACGTCTCAGTTCCACATGTGAGGCATAATCAGTACAAGATACATTTTTATCCTAATAATGTGTTTCAGGAGCTTGACTGGCACCACCATATTTAGAGTTTCAATTCTAGAACTAAAGAGTGTTTTACAATTTTTAGTGACTCTGCAAATCCTTCCTTTTCTATCACGGCAATTTCTGAAGCTTAACTTTGCAAATGTGTCAGGTATTTTAATGTATTACTGTCTTAAATGTTCCTTTTTATGGTAAATGGCCTGTATTTGATATAGCGCCTTCTAGAGTCCTGGAACCCCTCAAGGTGCTTTACAATACAATCAGTTATTCACCCATTCACACACACATTCACACACTGGTGGGGTTGAGCTACAATGTAGCCACAGCTGCCCTGGGGCACACTGACAGAGTCGAGGCTGCCGAGCACTGGCGCCACCGGTCCCTTCGACCACCACAAGCAGGCAACGTGGATTGCCCAAGGACACAACGACAGCGACAGACTGAGCTGGGCTCGAACCTGCAACCTTCCGATTACGGGGCGAGCACTTAACTCCTGTGCCACCGTCGCCCCTTTTTAAGTAATCATATGTTAATAAGTAAGCCACAGAGGGCTTTCTCCTTTCCTCATAGCTGTGGTATGCGGCCTGATAAGCATGGGGGTTGATGAAGTAGCCTGCCCAAAGCTGGGCGGACACTGCGACTTTTTCACTCGTAGCACTCAGCTTCAGCTCAAACTGTACGACTTCCTCGTAGAGCAGATCTCACGAGTCATGCGCTCACACTGCACGACCCAGTTCTCGGATGCGACCTGACTGCTCACACTGTACGTCTGGTAGCAACACGTCGGACCTAAAAAATATGCTAAAAATAGCAGTTTTTACACAACACGTCAGACTTTTTTTTGTGTTGTTTTGCCTGTTGTCCTTCAGAATAGTGCTGCAGGAAGACACACAGGGATTTATGGGGGTTGGATGAGGAAAACAAAATAAAGAAAGTAAATCTGTGTTTTGTGATAGTTTAATTAGACACGAACATGACAAACACGCTTTCTTGACAATCCTTGTCATTGTGTGTAAAAGACGTGCAGAAATAAAAATGAACAACGTGTGTTATTAGGGAAATAGCGGGCGAGCAGTGTTGACGCATGATTATGCATGCGCCGTGAGCGGTTCTGGTACTTTTTGGGTCGCAGCCACTCGCTGCGCTGCTTCAATCCTCATGAGGAACGAGCAAAATATCAAACACTCCAGTAGTCCGTGCAAGCTCACGATTGCTGATCGGTAGCTGGTCACGTGGTGTTAATCGCCTCTCGTAACCCCCTGTATACTGCACAACGCTCAGCGCAAAACTCGCCCCGATCTTGTGGATTCTCGCACGAGTGTAAAATCGGCTCAAAGAAGTGAAAAAGTCGCACAGTGTACGCCCGGCTTCATAGGTATCCATGGTTACTGAGTTTCTGGCTGTCAGTCATAAATTAAGACTTCCTTTGTGGAATGCTCTGCTTGGCAACAGGGAAGCTAGCAGCCACCCCTGTAACTTGAGACTTCCTTTTTAGAAGGTCCCGCCTTAGATAGAAAACAGTGTTATTGGTTTGGTGTGGACAGTGATGGATTGTTCTTTGCCCTTGTCTGCCTGTGGTTCAATAAAACCAGCTGAAGAGAGAAAACGTGCCAGAGTGTTGATTGGAACAGGGCCTAAACAGGTTCTGAGCCAGTCTCTTTCTCCACTGCCTCTTCCACAGCGTTAAAAAAAAAAAACCTACTGACATCTTTCCTGTGTGTGGTTCATTTTAGGGTTCAGTTTCAGGATTTAAAAATACCCAACATAATGCATGACCTTGTACTGAAATAGCTAATTAAACAGATTGCAAACATCTTAACCAGCAGAGGGCGCTAACTGCAATGTTTTGAAGACATTTATTTTAAGCCTAAATGGTTTTAAAGCTAATTGTCAGTTCTGCCCAGAGAAGGGTTGTGCATTGGTGCTTGTTAGTTTGGTGACATACGTGAGTGTCTTTGTTCAGGAAGTGCAGTCCATTCAGATTGACAGCCAGAATGCATGGTGCATCGATGGAGGAAGAGTTCAAACTCTGGATGAAGAAGAAAGAAGAGCCAAACATGGGGAAGGCACTGACCAGACCTGAAAAGAAATAATCACGTCATGTCAGATATACAAATACTATAAAGCTCTGACTTGTAGCTAACCATTAGCTCGGTTTCATGGAGGGGGTTTGGGACGGGTCGGTCTGGGTCATCGTTGGCCAGTATAGGGTCTGCAGTTTCAGGAGTGTTTCAGTCGCAGTTTGGACTCACTTGGCGGAAGGGGGGGGGGGGGGGGGGGCTTAAATACATATCGTCGTATCAAATCAAGGCTTTTAATTTCTTCAGCTTGGCCCGACATTGTTCCGACATCCATTTGAATCCTTTGGCTGCCGTCTGCTGAGAAACTTTTACCTTCCTATCGATCCATCTAGCTCGTCCTGAATGCAGTCTGAGGCACACCCGACCTTGGCGTTTTCTACACGGGTGTTACTGTGTACAGGGGCAGCTGTGTGGAGCTGAAAATAATGAACTTCATAACGTTACATATCCCCCCTTTTCAAGGTCAATGTGGTCCTTCAAGAGACCACTTGGTCGTTGAACAAACCCAAGTTATGAAGAACCGACTTTAAAATGGCGTTGCCTTGTTTTATATCTCTGAATTGTTGATAAGTTTTAGTAAAGCGGATTGGACACTTTAAGTCAACAAGCCAGATTCTCTTGCGGCAGCCGAAAGCTCTGATTGGTTGGAACAATGTGTCATGCGTTTCTATGGAGATGAGGGTCAGTCTGTCTGTGCAGTAGTCCTGTTTTCATTAAACACATAAATCATGACATCTTTATTCCACAGATCATTCACTTGATTATTATTGATCAACATCTGTTTCGACTAGCTTTAATCACAAATTAAGTACTTTGATTATTGAAAAGCGTTCTTCTTCTCCTTCTGGCTCTTCTCCTGGAATGTAAACAGTCTGAGGAACACCCGACCTTGGCGTTTTCTGCACGGGTGTTACTGTGTACAGGGGCAGCTGTGTGGAGCTGAAAATAATGAACTTCATAACGTTACATTGCCGACGATGGTCAGGAACTTTTGGAGCTCCAAAGCTTGCTGGTGTTTTCTCACATGCATGTACAACTAATGATGATACAAACAATGAAACTCTAGGGTTTGTTATGCTAGTCGTAATAGTGACCGTCCCCCAATCAGAGGACCGTGTTGTTCTGATGCTCCTGCTGTCCTACAACAGAAGGGCTCATGAATGGCGTGGTCCGGGTTGGTTGTATACCATTCCAAATTTATTAAATGGCGCATTTAAAAACAGCATGGGAGCTGACCAAAGCGCCTCCCAACATAAAAACACAAACATACAATATAACAGACAGAATAAAACAAACAGATAAAAAACACAAACATACAATATAACAGACAGAATAAAACAAACAGATAAAAACCGACAAAGGCAAATAAAACCAGCAAAAAAAGAAAAGATAAAAAATCACAGTCTAAAAGCCTTATTATAGAGGTGAGTCTTAAGGCGTGACTTGAAAACACCAATGGATGGTGAGTGGTGGATAGTCAGTGGCAGTGCATCCAGAGTATGGGAGCTACATCCATGAATGCTCGCTCCCCCTTGGCTTGTGACACATTTTCAGGGTGCAGAACAGTAGTTGGTCAGCTGAACATAGCGAACGCAGTGGCACGTAGGCCGTGAGTAAGTCCGGTGGGAAGGTTGGTGCCAGATTATTCAAAGTTTTGTAAGCAAACAGCAGGATCCTTAATGTCACTCTAAATGCTACTAGCCTGGTCTGCCAGACTCCTCCCCTGTTTAATTCTGCACAGAGAAAGGGTCTGGGAACTCTCCTATTCAAATAACCCCACCCCCTGATAATTCTAAGCAAGCCAATCAGTGCTGAGCAGCGAACATCACGCAGCATAACAACAAGTTTGTCATAAACATGGTGACTGAAGTGGAGTTTGCTGCGGCTCCTTCCTCTGGTCTAAATGACTTGGACATGTCTTTAAAACAACAACAAGTAGAAGTGCTATAAACCTTGTTTCTAAAGAAAGATGTTTGCGCTGTCGCCAGACTCCATTTTTGACTACAGCTAAAAAACTACAGCGTCGCAGACGTCACACACAGCGAAGCTCAGTTTCTCATAAACAACGAAGACAGCGACGGAGTTCGCTGCGGCTCTTTCCTCTGTTCTAAATGACTTCAATGTCTTTAAAAATCTGAAGATGATTTAGGGATGAAGCTGAAGTCCCAACCAATAGTGTGTTTGCATAGTCCAGTCGTGAGGTGATGAATGCATGTACCACAGTTTCTAAATGCGCCCTTTTCTAAATCGGCTTTAGGTGAGCCAAGCACTGAAGTTGAAAGAAACGCTCTTACAACAGCATTGATATGAGGGACTATTGTAAATCTAGCATCCAGTTTCACACCAAGGCTTGAGGCACACCCTTTTAGTTCCAGACCTGGAATGGCTGGGATCACGGTGTAGCTCAGCATATTCTTAGGGTCAAAAAGAATGGCCTCAGTCTTTGTCTCATTAAGTCTAAGGAAATTGGCTGCCAACTACCCCTTAACATCGGAGAGACAGTCGTCAAGTAATGAAACCTTATTTTGTCCATTCATCACCAAATATATCTGACAGTCATCGGCGCAGATGTGGTAGCCTGTGCCTTACCTATTGAAAATCCGTCCCAAAGGAAGAAGATAGATGGAGAACAGAAGGAGCCCCAGGACAGAACCCTGCGGCACCCCCCAGGTCAACAGAAGGCAGGGAGAGTCACAGTCCCCAAACCGTACACAAAAGGATCTGTTAGCCAGATGTGGACCGGTTTGAATTGGGTCAGACAAAACAACGACCTGACCAGCCCCGCTACGTCCCCCGCAGTGGAACTGTAACAGTAGCAAAAGTTTTTGCTCTGCAGGTCGGTCTCTCCACACTCCATGGTAGCCTAAGCAGGTCTACCATTGGCTTGGCTATGTTTATCCAATCATAGCACTCTAGATATGTAGAAAGACGTTGGATGGGCTTGGCAACATTATGCTAACTCTATCCACTTTGTCTGGGAAGATCTTATAGTGACACACTGATGTTGCTTTCACAATTACAACATGCTTACAAGATGTTGTGGCCTTACCGAGGAACTGTGCACGGGCCTGGTGTGGGTTTAAAGGCTGGACGTGCTGCATGTGCTGCGTTATCATATTCAGCCACACCTGGGAGCCCTGTTTGCTGTAGAACTGTGAGGGGACACACTCCTGCACTTCACGCCTACACACACACACACACACACACACACACACACACACACACACACACACACACACACACACACACACACACACACACACACGCCCATCACAAACAAGTAGGGGCAGTTCCGGGGAGGTCCAGGGTGTAGCTTGTGCATCCTAACAGCATGCCTGAACCCCCCCAGAGCCCAAGCATTAACACATATCGATTTTCTGGAATGATAATTTTGCTTGATGTGAGAAACCAAAGCTTGTGAAAGCTTTTATCTGAAAAGTAGTAATTAGTAGTCATTGTGTCTAAAGCAACTGTAACTTAAAGTATCTTTCCAGAGTTTTCCCCTTTCAGAAATTATGTATGATTTTTCAGAAATCCATAAAAGTGATCATCTTATCATGTATGGTTTATTTTTTATTTATTTTTTTGCTAAACACACCCCCTTTCCCTCAGAGCGCCTTGCAACAGGAAACTGAGCGCCGACCAGAACTAACCAATAGCGTTAGACTACTGCTTACATGCTTCACATTTAAGGAAGACCTCGGCTGATGCAGAGTTGATGAACTTTTCATGAACAAGTAAGTCTCTAAAATATAAATATATGAAAACACAACATGACATGAGAATAATACTCGTAAAACAACGTGTTATAGCTCTGTTTGTCGGCTACAGAAGCACATTTATAAACAAGAAACGTGAAGTTGCCATCTTAAAAAGACGAAAAGAGAAACTATTTGTGTGATATGCTTGTCAGCCACTAGATGGTGCCATCGGATAAGAGAAATATTCCAGAAAGAGCCTTTAACTGCTGCTATATATTGATACAACTATGCAAAGTTTGAAGAAGTATCTAAAATATATGTTTGTAATGTTATAGGGAGCCTAAGTCACTTCTGGACCACGGGTCCCCGGAAGAACAAAAAAATGAACGTAAGTCAACGGGGCTAAAAACGCTATTTTCTAATTCCGCTTGTTTTGTGCCATAGATTTCACATATGTTGTCCGTGAAGTTTAAAGACGCATTTTGATACCAAGAACGTGCTTATTTATGGATAGGGGAAAACACTATTTTAGGTTTTGTGTGAAAATAAGTCCAGGACTACAAATACGCTTCACGAAAGTGACGTCATCGAAGCAGACATGGAGAAAACTGAGGGAAAAGGGCTGTAAGTTCAGCAAACTTCCCACAGGAGGAAAGAACCGCCATAAATCTGGTTATTTGGTAAGTAGCAGCTACGTTAGGGGAGAGGAGATTATGTGGTGACGAGTTCTGGTGTGTAGTCATGCTAATTACGAACTTTTACAAGCTGATAAATCTTAAAGTATGTGACTGTGTGGTCGAAACACCCATCATTACTTTTCATTTAAATTGAAGTACAACACATGTGTGATCCAGGGCGTAAGGCAAAGCGGATTAGAAAGTAGCGTTTTTAGCCCCGTTGACTTGCATTCAATTTTTTCGTTCTTTCGGGGACCCATGGTGCGGAAGTGACTTAGGCTCCCTATATTCATATGATTATGTCAGAGCAGCTGGCCCGAGCCTACCACCACCCCCTAATGTTGGTCTAGAACCACCACTGTGAACAAGTTTGGGGTAAAAGCAGCAAAATCATGTCATAAAACACGCATGAAGCTATCGTAAAGCATGTTGCTGTGACCAGCTGCACATAAACTTTGCTAACATAAACCAGGAGTGTAGTTACAGTGTAGGCAGGTAGACTGAGTCCTTGGCACGGTGCTGTAAAGCTGCCAGCCTGGAGATCTGCTGCACATGTTGCTCACTGGGCTTTCCCGGAGGAACCACACTCAGCAGGGCCTTCAGGTAGTCTGGCAACACCTGAAAAAATATTCAATGATGGCGGATGTTGCACAACCTCAACCATTTAACCCCTTTTAGACTATTGTAACAAACTGAGTTTCAAATATTTCTGGCCTTAAAGCATTCAGATGGAGTATTAGGATTAGTATTTTCATCAGAAACCTGACATATCGGGTCCTACACATGTCTGCTGACCTCTGGTGGAAAATATCTTATTTTTTTCTATAATATTGTTATATAATTATATCACACCACACACAAGCTAGTTTCACTCACAGACACTGCCTGGTTAGATGGGAAACCTTGTAAAACCTCTCAAGACCAAACATGACTTTGGAAAAACAGAGATGGAAGAGGAGGAGGAGGAGGATTTTGATTCTCCTTGCTCCGTGCAGCATGCTTCCATCACCTTGCTTTGTGATTGGATAAAAAATAAACAGGCGGCATGCTTGTTTGTCCTCAGAGAAAAACATACATTTTTATCACGCCAAGACAATCTAACATGATGAATATCCTCATTTTGCGAGATGAGCTGTCCCTTAACACATCACACACGTTGAGAGCACTCTTAACACATCACACATGGCAGGAATATCTTATAAGAATATTTTAGCGCTATTACAGTTATTAGGGGCCTAAAGATTGCTGGATGAGGAGAATTGGGTCAGAATAGCTATTTACCCCCCAAACTGAGGTTGTTCAAAGAGCTGACTACAGCAGATTGTTCACAGAAACCTTCTTTAAAGAGATCACTTTAAAGGAAGTGGTGTACCTGGTTATAGTGCATAGTCACATAGAGCTCGTTGTCCAGTTTGAGAGCCAGACTCCAAACGACTCTCCTGAACCAAAGGCTGTAGTTGGCGTCCACTGGCTCAGCCTCTGTGGCAATGTCCAAGATGTACTCCCGCTTGTTCAGGGGACGCACATTCTGACCTAAATATGAAAGTAGTTCAGGGATCATCTACATGTTAGCACATCTTGTTTAGAAGTAACACTCTTCTTCCATTGTTCCATTTCAACGCAATGCTAATTACCTTTATGTGTGACCAAAAAGATGGCATATTCATCCAACGCCTCCAACCTCTGCAGTCCCATCTCCGAGCAAAGCTCTTCGATTGCATCCAAAGCAACCTGAAACCAAAAGATTTTCTAACAATAAGCAATGCTGCTACTTACCTGCTACATGTTTACGGAAAGGTCCTCGTGCCATGATGCTCATCCTAAGAATCTCTCGTTTGACTGGGTTTGTTTGTGAGTGAACTTACAGAGCATGTCTTGATCTTCAAGTGCCTCTCGATCCCACCTGGGAGCAGAAAGAGCTGCCTCTTTGAGCTCCGCCCAGCCTATACAAGGACAACCAATCAGATGACTGAGCACCAGCATGTAGAGCACAACTTTTATACTAGTAGTAGACAATCATCAGCATATCTGATTCAATGAAGAAGTCATGAGCTCTTCAAGTTAACAAATTCTCTCAAAAAAGGATGTCATCCTTGCTTCTTCTACATTCTAATGAAGTAATGCAGATTTCTAGCCTAGAAATCTAGACATACAGTAGAGATAGCAAAAGATTTAGCTTTGCAACCTGGTCTAACCACCCTCGTAGCCAGGTCTACCATTGGCTTGGCTAAGTATAGGTTGGGCCAATCACAGCAGTCTCTGTAGAAGAGACATTGGGCAGGTTTAGCACTATGACAGCAGAGCTTCTTTTCTTTTTTACAATGACAGCAGAGTAACAAAAATGGAGGTTGCTCGGGAGCGACACTCATTTGAAACGGCTTTGGAATCGACTTTGGAATTTTACACTTGGGCTTTTCTTTGAGATATGAGAAGATAAGAGGTACTTCTTAAGGTATGTTTTCATTGGTCGATTGCAGACTGGAGTCGCAGGTTTTCAAGCAGTGCTTGAAGACTTTTTACACTGATTTGGTCGTGAGACGCTCAAAAAGCTGTCGCAAAGCTGGTTACACTGTGCGCTCACAGCATGGTGCACATATATGCAAATCACCCTGACGTTGACTGATTTTTGTCACGATTCTGCTCAGGATGAGGGATTTGGTAAAAACGGCCAAAAATCGCTCAGTGAGTGCGTTTACATGCAGCCAGTAACCCTTTTAAAACCCGAATATTCACAATAACCCAGTTCCGCAGGTCCATGTAAACACCGCCAAAAACCCGGATATGCTCATAACCGGGTTTTTAAAAACCCGGTTACTACACTTGGGGTAACCCTTTTCTAGCCCGAATGTTTGGTCGTGTAAACGCATATCAGGATATCCCATCAAAGCGTGTGTTCTGCGCATGCTCTGTTCGCAAGGAATCTTGGTCTTTTGAGTAGCGAGACGTCTTGTATGCGCCAGAACACCGGAAGTAAACAACAAGTTGGGAGCAAAATGGCGAGTCGCAGCACAGCACCACACTTTTGGAGTGACGAGGAAACTAAAGCACAAACAAACGCGGTCGCTACCTCTTCCGAACTGGGAAACATGTTGTTGTTTTCATGGATACCGGAACAAGAAGAACCGGACATGACGCATATTGCGTCTGGACGTAGTCCATACGTCCTGACGCTACCCCAACGTCTGCATTTACATCGGGTTATGCAAGTTAGGGGTAACTCTTTCTATTTGTGCTTGTAAACGGGTTATTCTGATCAACTCAGAAACCCGAATACCGACCTTAACCCGATCATAACCCGGATATTGGCTGCATGTAAACGTAGTCAGTGTGATCCCGGCATTAGTCAACAGACTGCCCCGTTGACTGATTTCCATCACCGTGGATGTGTCCTCTTGTTCACTGCTCTGACTGTTTGGCTGGCAGACAGTTTCAAAGATGGTGGTAGATTCCTCCCCTACGACTGAGCTTTGCCATAGCCAGACTGTATATTTACATGCATAGGATAGCTAACATAGGGTAACAACATAAACTCCTTTGTAAAAAAGTATTTGCCCTGATTATAATTTCTTCTGTTTTAAAAAACAAAAACAAAAGATAACCTGAGTAAATCATAGAATAGTAAGATTTCTAATTTATTAAGAGAACGTTGAATCATGAGCTCTCACCTTAACTTCAGTGGTTAACACGATGCTCTGCCTTGTTCATTTCATGTGTTTACAACGGGACACGTTGTGTTACTTTTTGAGATCTTTTAACTTACTTCAAGACATGTTCTTTTGAATATTTAAAAATGCATTTTTCAAAAACAGTAAAAGAGTGTAAACGATCTAAATCTTATTCACAGCCCCGGATTCTATCATTACTGTATAAAATAATGTTCATTTTCAGCACAATAGATCACTATTAAGCATTTGTTCACCTTCTGTTAAAATCGTAAAATATCTTGCTATATGTGAATTATTGTATCATAGGTTATCATTATATATATATATATATATATATATATATATATATATATATATATATATATATATATATATATATATATATATATATATATATATATATATATATCCAGAATATGTCCAGAAATATGTTTAGGTGGGATTAAATACACAGAAACAAAAGGAAATCTGGAACACACACACACACATACTATATATACATATATATAGATATAGATATATATATAATATGTGTGTGTGTGTGTGTGTGTGTGTTCCAGATTTCCTTTTGTTTCTGTGTATTTAA